TATAACTCTCTGGAATTCTACTGGGATGGAATTTCTGCTTTGAGTTCTAATTGGTTCCAGGGGCCTTGATTGTTGAATTATAGAGTGAATGATGACCACTCCCAAAAGGGATCCCTAGGTCTGCCCCAGAGCCTATTTATGAGGGCCGGCCAAGGAAATGCTCCAGGGAAGACCAGAGGCCATGCTTGCTCTTCCTAACACTGTCTTTACAAATCAAGAATAATCCTCATGTCTTGGATTCTCCTTGATGTCCTGTGATGAATCTGTACTTCATACTATGGGCTGCCTGATAGCCTTTCCTTTGTCTCCGTCCTGAATCTTGGAGCTCCAAGTGTCTGGTGTTCTGGGGATCATCAAGATGTTTATTACATTAGATCATATACCCTCCCCATCCTCCTTCTTTGGAAGTTGAACTAGGGCGCAATGAGAAGAGCATCAGCCCAAGAGTCAGGAGACTCCCAGATTATGGCACTTATGAGCTATGGAGCGGATGACTCTCGCTCTCTGGATCTCAATTTGCTCATCCATAAAGTGAGAAGGTTGAACCAAATGACCTCTAAGACCCCCTTCCTGCTCCATTATCTTATGGGCTCTTTGTCGGTCCATGACATGAAGTAACCCTAGGCCTTACCCTGTGAGAGGCAGCTAGGAGGTATAGTAGACAGAATGTTAGGCTTGCAGTCAAAATAGACCTAAGCTCAAATTATACCAGATATTTCCTGCGTGGCTCAGGGCAAGTCACTTATCTTTTCCTCATCTGTAAAATGAGGAGATTGGACTCAATGGCATTTAGCGTTCCTTCCGGAACTAAATCTATAATCCTGTGGTCCAATAGAGGGTCCTGGAGGAATGGATGCTCACTTGATGAGGGTATTCCCAATATGAATGATTTCTTTCTATAGTCATCTTCCCTTTTAAATTCCAGTTACAGAGGAGGGTAAAAAGAAACAGTTTGAAACAATGATCAGTGTCCACTTGAAATTCAAAAACATGTCTCTGCATTGACGTGGCCAAAGGCGTCCACAGCGACACACACAAACGCAAAATTCTAGAACAACACAGTAGATACCAGAAAATAAAATAAATGAAGAAATAGTTTGCATTTCTGTACATTACAAACGGGAAAAAATATAATAAGATCAAGAAAAGAAAGGGGAAAAAACCACAGGACAAGGTAGGTGAACTCCCCCAGCCCAGCCCTTGCCTGCTTTAATTCCCCATATTACCACGGTTCAAATGGGAGGCTAAAAAACAAACAAAAACACAGATGGGATTAAAAAGTGTTGTGTGGCTTTTTAAAAATAGAGTAAGCAAAAGTCTCCCCCATCACTTTGCCATCCCCACTCCCCACCAAAACATTTCTCATCATTTGCTAAACTCTATGACACCCCAACCTGAAAAAAGAGGGGCTAGGTCTCCTCTTGGCTTTAATTCTGCTTCCGAAATACTCTCCCAAGGGAAAGAAGGGGAGGTTGGAGGATGGTGACCACCCCACCCAATAGCATTCCAAGCAAAGGGAGAGAAAGAAGCTTGCAAGAGTATTCCTCAGGGAGCTGTTTTTGGAAGAGGCTCAGGGGACATGGCTATCTTGGGACAGAGAGGGTGGACAGATGATTGAGGATCCTGAGTCCGTTAATGGTAAAGAAGGTAGGGGATAGGGCTCATCTGGTTTGTTTTCTGGGAGAAGGGTGATAATTGGCTGGTCCCTTCCCTTGCCACCTTCAACCTGAATGGGTTCCCTTGAAATTGGTTCGAAACAGGCCAAAATTGAACCCTTTATAGTATTGGGGAGGGGGCAATACATGATCTCTTCCTGGATTTCAGGGATCATGTTGTCCTCTGTCTTACTATTATTGCCTTAAGGGAGGGTTTTAGGGATCAGGGGATAGAACAGCTGATAAATGAGCACTGGATAAATGTAAACCCTTGGGGGGGGCCCTTTTTTTTCTTAGTTTCAGTGTTCTCAAAAGCAATGGGTAGAGAACCTTAAGGTTGGTAGTAACTGGGAAGCCGCATAAAGAATCCCTCTTTGACAAAGAGTCTGACCTTTAGTCAGCTTTCATCCTACCACCATGACCACATAGTTGTTGCTGTCCTAGTTGCTAGATATAATAAAAGGGAAAAGGCAAATAGGGGTAAATAGGATTTCCTTTTTTTTTGGCTTTGCCTTAGGAGTGGATGTTCCCTAGTGTGGGTTAAGGCATGTCCTTGACATGGGGAACTCTAAACAACTTAATGTCACCATTTTTTGGACTTCACAGAAGGCTGTGTGAGCTAGCTAATGAAGGCCCTGAGACCTTCTAGAGGATATTGATACATTGGGAAACTAATGTTTGACCCCTTCCTTTCTGGGTGTATGGGCTCAGTACCATTGGGTATGCGGGTATTGTCCTCTTTAGGTTTAAAGGTTCTGTCCACTGTAAGGTTGTGGGTCCTTTTTTCTTTAAGTTTATGCATTGTGTCCCCATTAGTTTTGTGAGTCTGTGCCCCTCTGGGTTAGCCTGGACTATGCCATGTTGAGTACATCCTGTGGCTTTGAAAACCAATAGTAGATGATCCATTTAGATATTTCCTGGACTGACCTAGAGAAGGTGAGTGTCTCCTTCCTGATTCACTCCACTGCCTTTCAATTATGGACCAAGGGAGATGCTTCCAGCTACCAGGAGGTTTTGGCTAAAGAGAACTCAGGGCCTGGAAGGCACCAAAGAATATTCCATCCAGGTTGGATAGTAAATCACTTTCTTCTTAAATAAAAATTGCCATGGGATGATAGCAACTAGAACATAGAGATATTTTCTTGGGTTCCCTTAGGATTCACAAAGTGTTGCCATTTGTTCTCTTATCTAAGGAAATGGGAAAATTTGTTTAAAAAAAAGGGAAAAAGAATGAAACAGCTAAAAACTGAAATCAAAATAAAAACCAACACATACATGGCTGCTGCTATGCTAAGACATGAGAGGTGGAGATCAAACCCCAAAGGCTCCAGGGATGAATTGTACTCCACATGGCTCCTGCTCCAAAGCAGGGGTATGATCAGACAGGCTATCCAAGGCAGCTGGTATTCTAGAATCCAGAGGGTTTGGCTATAATTTTCTAGCCCCAGAAAGACATATCTTGACCTTCATGCCTAGGGATAGGCAAAGGAAGTTTTGGATAAGGTAAAGTGAAGTGACTTCTTGTCCCAGAGGAATCAGAGAGAGCTGGGCTAAATATTCAATGGGCTGAGGTACATCAGAAAGAAAATTGGACTGGAAGCTAGGAAACTTGACTTCTGCTCTTGGAGCTGGGACCAACTCATTTTGTGACTGAAGATGAATCACTTGAACTTTGTGGGTCTTAGTTTCCAATGAGCAGGGTTGGACTAGCCAATCTCTAGCTCCCTTCTAGCTCTGAAATGCTGTGATTCTAGTTTCAAAAAGGAGACAGGTACCCTGCCCCCCAGCCCTGTCTTCACCTTCTTGGTGGAAGGAATAATGAATGTGGAGTTGTGGAGACTTGGGTTTAGTTTGGTCCCAATAATCCCCTCACCTCAGTCTGTGATCTTTGAGTGTCCAGTGCCCCCTATGGGCCTCAGAGAAACATGCCCTCCTACCAAAAGAATGGGTATAGGCTAGATATGGGTCATGCCTCAAGAGAGGAATGAGCTGACGAGATGGTCAATGAATCTTTCAATTTGAAGGGACATCAGATGTTGTCTAGTTCAAACTCTTAGTCAGTTTCAGAATTACATCAATAATGTCCCTGACAAGGGGTCTTTCAACCTCTGTATGAGTATCTCTAATGATGGGGGATTCATTACCTACCAGATACTCCATTCTGTTACTGGACAGTTTTAATTGCTGGGAAGTGATATTGAGCAGAAATTGGCTTCTCTCTAACTTCTGGTCTTCTGTCCCATGGGGCCAAGCCAAAAACCCCTCATCACTCTTCAAAGGAGAGATGTCTTGGATGAAAGGTGTGATATAAGGACAAAAAGTAGGGGGGAAGAGGAGGTTGCTCTTTCAAAGCAAATAGGGTGGGACTTGGGGCCAGGCACTTACTTCATGTGGGCATTCATAAATTAAATGCAGTGTTGGTGGTGGAGAAAAAAAATTGGACCAGAGACCAGGGGGCTTTAAAAAAAAACGAGTAAGAATTGTGGCTAGCTCTCAAAAGTTTCATGGGGTTTAAAATATTCCTAGCTTTGGGGAACTCAGTCCCAGACATGAAAACCTCAGTTCTGGGGGCAGATACTGCCAGGGATCAGTGCTGGGGATGGGGGTTCAATGTCACAGATAGGGAGTAGCACTGGGGATAGGTGTGGAAGGGTACTCAGTGCTGCTGATGGAGACTCAGTCTTGGGGATAGGGCATGAGTGCCAGGGACAGGGATCTGTGGACTAAGTGATACCATGTTGAACTACTCAAGTTGTTTTTGGGGACAAAAAGCCTTGCTGTCCAAGGCTGATGCTAAGAGTTGAAATTAAAACACATCCTCTTAGAGCAAATCATCAAAGAGACATGTGCATTTCTTATTCAGAGATCCCAGGAAACAAAGAAGGATGGGAGTAGTGGATTGGGGTGGGGGATGACACACTAACAGTTTGGGGAGAACCCCCTTATGCCATTTCTCTTCCCGGGCCTTAGGTTTCTCATCTGTAAAATGAGGGGGGTTGGATTAGGTAACTTCTGAGGATCTGTCTATCTCTAGACCTATGACCTTTGATCCTAAGGTATCTTAATCTGTTTCCCAGTAATATTGCCTCTGTTACACTTTCCAGATGGGGTACTTGGGCTTTCCTCCCACTCCCAGCCAAGGGAAGGGGGTTCCTGGGGGGGCCTTGCCCTTGTAGCAGAGGGAGCTCTTGTAGTAAGAGGCAACTCTGGCTTGGTCACTGGGACTTCCAAGTTACAAGGACATATGGCTGTTAGGAACTCTGAGTTCTAAGTGCATCTCTTCCTCTGCTTACTAGCTGTACCTCAGTTTCTTCATCTATGAAATAGGAGTAATCTTTTCCATACCTTCTTCACTGGGTGGTGGTGAGAGATCAAATGGGATAATGGATGGGAAAGTCTCTTGAGGAAGGATAAAGCGCCAGCACAAATGGAGGGGGCTACTCTTACAACTATTCTTCTTCTTATTCTACTAGCACCTTGGAGCCCATCTTCAGCCCTTCCATGGCTCTAGGAAGACTGCCATCTTCTCTTTCCACCTAATTAGTTGAACTGTGCACTCAGGAGCCTGGGGTGGGGTGTAGGGGGTCTGGTATAATCTGCCCTTGTTGGGGTACAAGATGGCTGGGGAGAGGGAGAGGCAGGGGCAATGGACTGCAGTCTCTCCTAATCCCCAACACACATACGCACACACATACACACACACAAGGAACGGGATTCATCTATAGACTTGGTGTGAGGGAGGGTCTGAGCTTGACCCCGTCTGACCTATAAATGTGAAGTGACCTTTGCCAAAGGTTGGGAAGTGGGGTGGAGCGGGGAAGGTGAATGGTGGCAAGAGCCAGGGGTACGTACATCCAGAGGGGTGTCCGATGGGCTGCCACGGGACTGGCTGGGACGTCTACTCCGCTGGCCATTCTGGTGTGGAGACCCTGATCGGCTGCGGCCCGAAGGAGAGGACGTTCTGCTCCTGCTGGACCGCTGGCTACTGGCCTTGGGGCCATCGTCTCTGGGCTTGGGGCTCAGTCTGTAGCAAGGGGAGGGATGGAGGGAGCCAGGGTGGGACCCTCCTACTTCATTTCCCCTCCACTGAACCAGTCTTGGCTACACGACCAGAGGCATAAGCCTCTCTGACCATGCACATCACCCCCAACCCTCCATTGCCCCCTCTGCCTTAGAGAGAAATCGAGGCCCAGATCCCTTAGGCATCACCTCTTCCAGGATATCTGCCCAGACTCCTCCAGCCCCCAATAACCTCTGCTTGCTCTGACCTCTTCCAGAACTTGGTATGCTCCGCTAGTCAGGCAAACACTTAGCTTTCACTCCCTAGTATTACTCCCTACCTTCCTCCATGCCTCTCCCATGAGACCATGAGACCATGAGGTCAGGGCCCCTGTCTTCTTCTCCTGTCACCCCAACTGAATTGGGAGCTCAACCCTGGGGGGCCTAATGGGAGGTTTGATGAATGAGCTCATTGACTGACCCAAGCCCTTTTGATTTCATCACAGGCAGGTCATCATAGAGCTGCCTGCACCTCCACATTGAGCAATGTTCCAACTCTCCCCAACCAAATTCTAGGCATTTAGACCCTCCACAGAGGGCAAGGGGCCCCACAAGACTCAGAAGAAAAACCCAAATCCTCACCCACATTTTCCAAGACCCCAGCCCCTGACCTCAGCCCAAAGGCCTGGCCACATCCCATCTGCCATGCCCTGGGCATGCCCATGGTCTGCTGTAAGCTGGCCAGCCTACCTGCTGGGTGATTTGGAGCTGCTGTAGTTGGAAGATATGGAGGCGCTATGAGAACTACAGCTACTGTGTCGATGACACCTTCTTGAAGGAGACTCACTATGAGGCCTGGAAAAGGAGAAGGTGAGGGGAAGAGACGGAGAGAGGGGAGGCTGTCGCATAGGCCAGCCTGGCTCTGTGGTAGCTCCTGTGCCCTTCCTCCTTGTGCTCAGTGTTCCCATCAAACCCTGCTCTGGGAGAAGGCTGTGACATCAGCCCCTTCCACCCTAGTGTGAATGAGGGTCAATCCCTATGCTCCCCCTCCCCAGAGTAACTATTTGGAGAGGAAGCCAGAGGCCTCACCCGGGAAGGTGTGTTCGGGGAGGGGATCTGGCCCCCATCAGACGGATAATAAGCAACGACAGAGCACAGCAGGTGGTGGAGATATCTGGAGGCCGGGAGGGTCACACCACCTCACTGCCTACTCTTCCTCTGGTTAAGATTGGCACTGGCCACCAACATCTTCCAGTTCCCCTCTCTGTGCCTAACCCCTTCCACAAAAAGGAAAGGGGCTCAGCCCCTTTGGGCAGGGGTAGAAGGAGAGTCGATTTGCCCCAAACACCTCTTCCCACTTCTCAAAGCCGGAGTCAGTCTATAGCAGAATTCAGGCTAAACCAAGCTCTTCCCTATAGTTTCACGGCAGGCCTCAAACCAGTCTCGGCTAGTTCTTGGCACCCCACCCTGAAAGGGGCAGAAATATGGGTCTCTTACCTCTTTCTCTCTTTGTTTTTCTCTTTCCTTTTGCTTTTGGGGCTCCGGGATCTACAAACAATAGGAAGCTCGGTGTCCAGGGAGTTAAGAATGATGAGAAGTGACCTGGGTCATTGGCTCCTGTCTGCCTGCCTTAGAACCTGCCAGAAAACTCACCTTTCCTTGAGAGCTGAGCCCTGTGATGGGATGGCCACAGCTTTGCTCATTATGCCAAACACAGGGTCTGTTCATCTCCACTTCAACACTTTTGTGAAGACCATAGACCCCCCAGACCTGGCTCAGAGCTTATCTACTCTGAGAAGCTCTCCTAGGCTTCTCATCCAAGTTTATTTCATTCTTTCCCTCTGGGCAGCTCAGTCCTTATGTAAGCACTTAATCTGGAGCTGACAATTAATGTGAGAGATGATGACAGTTTATTCACATGCGCAGGACTCAGCTGGCAGCCCTAGAGTGTCCCCAGATGCTCAGCCATTAAGGGGTCCCTGAATAGCCAGTGCTGGCAGATCCAGTGAAACCTGGAGTGAGATGGTTTGGGATCTTTCTGAAATGGAAGGCTCTTGTCTCATGCCTACCCTCCTCTCCTCTCCCCTTTCCTGAACTTTCTCCCTCCTCTGAGTTTCTAGATTCGCTTTTAGGTCTGTGCTCAGCTGCTCTGTTGGGTTCAGATATTCCCTCCAACCATGTCAATCGATCCCAACCCATCTAATACCTGCTAGCTGGCTTGCTCAATTTTGCTCTTAACCCAGTTTTCACCAGATCACAGCATTGTAGAATGTTAGTGAGCAAGGGATCATGGGACTTAAGAGCTGGAAGGAGCCTCAGAGATCTACTCAAACCCTCTTATTTTATTTTATTTTTTTTAGGCAATTGGGATTAAGTGACTTGCCCCTCAAACCCTCTTATTTTACAGAAAACTGAGGCCCAATGAGATCATGTGACTAGGTCATGAAGGCTACCAGGATTCAAACCCAGGTCTTCTAACTCTGTATCCTATGGCTATAGGATTTAGAATTTAGTCCTCCCTAGCTGCTAGGCTGTACAGGGAATACAGCATTGGGTCTGAAGTCAGGAAGACCTGAGTTCAAATCCAGCCTCAGACACTTACTAGCTATGTATCCTTGGGCAAGCCACTTAACCTCTATATGCCTCAATTTCTTCATCTGTAAAATTGGTACAATAATAACACCTGCCTCCCAGGGTTATTGCAAAAAAATCAAATGAGAAAAATATGTGTAAAGTGCTTAGCACAGTGCCTGGCACGTAGTAGGTGCTTAATAAATACTTGTTTCTTTCCTTCCTCTTCTTTTTTTATTTCTTTTAGGCATTTGGGGTTAAGTGACTTGCCCAGGGTCACACAGCTAGTAAGTGTCAAGTGTTTGGTCTGAGGCTGAATTTGAACTCAGGTCCTCCTGACTCCAGGGCCAGCGCTCTATCCACTGCGCCGCCTAGCTGCCCCTTAGCTGCCCCCTTCCCCTTCTTCTGCTCTCCCTCCCTAAACGACCTAGTTTCTATTTTGCATTTATTTTGAATGTATTTATGCATGTACATGTTATCTCTCCCAACAGAATAGAAGCTCGTTGAGGGCAGGGTCTGTTGTATTTTTGCCTTTGCAGGACCAGAGCCTAGCCTGTGAGCTTAATAAGTGCCTGCTAATTGATTAATAGCATTGGAGGGGGCCTTGAACAGCACATCCAGGGCTCTGAGTGAATGTGCTGTTCTTAGTCAGGGCAACCTTCCAGAGGGAGGGAACGGGATCTTTTGGTTGCCTTATGCTCGATAGAGCAGCCTGGCCTGGACTGGCTCCCAGTCAGACCTTGGTGGAGCTGACTAGAAATGGACTCTCAATGCTAAGCTTCTCAGTGGGTGCCCGCTCCCAGAGATTTCCACCACTGGAGGGCAGCAGAACACCAGCCCAATTTCTGGCTCAGCCACATCGCTAGGGTTCCAAAGCGGAAACCTGGAAGTGGAAGAGAATCAGGGGTTCACGGGTTTAGGGCTGGAGAGGATCTCTGGGGCCATCTTGTACAACTCCTCCATTCACAGATAGGAAATGAAGGAAAATGAGGCCCAGAGACATTAAGTGACTTAGGTTCATGGATTTAGATGTGGAAAGGACCTTAGAGGTCCTAGTCAAGTCAACAAGCGTTTATTAGGTACCTACTGTGTTCCAAAGAAAGGCAAAAGCATCCCTTTCACTCAAGGAGTTCACATTCTATGTTACAGATAGGAAAACTGAGGTTGAGAGGTCAATGACTTGCCCAAGGTCACAGAATAAGTCACAGGGATGGTCCTATCCCAGTCAGAGGGACTGAAAGGTAAGGTGAAGTAGGCTGTGGGCTTTTTGGCATCTTGGGGCATCTGAGCTGCTTTAGTTACCCCCATGTAGGCAAAGCATCTGGGGAGGAAAGAAGTTCCAAGGGGACCCAGGAGCCTCCCTCTCCCAGCCCCAAATCTCTCAGGATCAGGTAATTTTGTTAGGGGCTCCCATAGTTACCCATTAGACATCCCGTACCCCTTTAGAGAAAGGGCTCACCACTTGAGTCCTTGTAGAGCTCTGTTCTTAGGATACACAGTGTTGGGAGCAGGTTTGAGCTGGGATTGACTTTCAGTCTTAACCGCGTTCCTCAGTTTCCAGGTCCAGCCCCTACTTATCACCACTCCAACCAAGCTTGGTGGAGTTAGACTTGACTGTCTAGCTAGCCTTGCCACACCCTTTGCAGGTCCTGCTCACCTGTGTCTTCTCTTCCTCCGGGATCCTGAGTCAGACCTGTTAGATGTGACAACATGGTTCCCATTTAGCAGACCTTTGAGGAATTAAGCCTGCCCTCCCTCTCCTTCCCTGCCTGGGCTCTGAGCTCTGGTGAGGTGGGTGGGGGAGCAGGACAGACCTGCGTAGGAGGGCTCAGGGCTCCAAGGTTGGGGAGGGGACGAGACTTTTTAGGTACCTGTCACGTCTATGCTTCTTTCCATTTTTCTTCTTCTTCCGAAGGGGTGAGGAGCTCCCACAGCTGCTGACACAGGACAGGAGCAATAGCTTTCACCTCTGTTTCCTTGACCATTTCTTTCCTGCTCCTCTCCTCCCCTCCCCCGATAATGTGCACACATGATTGCAACAGGTTCCTAATAAGGCATGGCACCTTTATTCTCTCCCTTCCTCCTTCAAATTGTCCTACACATCAGATGATGAGTTAAATTCTTCATGCCCAAATCTGATCAGTGACCTCTCTGTTCAAGACCCTTCAATACCCCCCCTATTGCCTCAGAGAATAAAGTTCAAAGTCATTTGCTTGATTTAAAGTCCCCATCCCCATACCTGATATCACCTAATCTCTTATTACTCACAAAATCAGAACCAGACTGTCTGAGTTAGGAAGGACCTGAAGCCATATAGTCCAATTTGCTGTACTTGACTGACGGTCCCCTCAGATATCCCCAACACCTAGTCCTTCTGTCTTTACTGGAAGATCTCCAGGGAGGGGCAATTCGCCATCTCTCCAGGGAGTCCATTCCCCTTCCTGACAGCTCCCTCCGTGCAGTTTTTCTTGATGTGGAGCTGAAATCTGTAGTTTTGCCACTTCCATTTTCCCCCACCTCACCTTCCCAGTTCAGGCCTCTGCGGCAAAACAAAATAAGTCTAATAATCCAGTCCACATAATAGCTCTCAAGTCCTCCCAGTGTCCCTCTTCTCCAAATCAAACAGCACCAATTCCTTAAACCAAGTGTCATGTAAATTGACCTCATTATCCCTATCACCCTCATCTGGATGCTCTCTCCCATGTCGATGCCCTTTCTAAAATGTAGCACGCAGCTTGTCCCTTCTGGGTACAATCCATCTACAATCCATAATCCATCCCAACTGGCCTATTGGCCACCTGTGACCTTGTTCTCTACACCACCACCCATGACCTCTTGAATTCTTATAATTATTTGGAAGTCCAACTCCAATACTACTTACTCCAGGACTGCCCCTTTCCTTCCCCAACCTCATGACGCTTTGGCTGCCTTTATAGTGTGTTATCACGTATTCCAGTTTTTGATGTATGGGTTATCCACCCCCCACCTCGGACTGAGAGTTCTCCAGGGCGAGCACTGAGTCTAATCTCGGCTTTGTACTTCTCTCCAGCTGTCTAGCACAGTACTCTACACACAGCAGGTGATTAACCAATTATTGTCAGGTTAAACTGAATTAAGCTGAACTGAATGGAATTGAACTGAATTGCATTTCGCTGCATTGCGTTTATTTGAATCCAATGGTGAGGCCAGGGCTGGGAATGAGAAGATAAATTCTGTCATCCAAGTTGAAGGGAAAGCAATTTGAAAAAAATCTCAGGTTCCAAGGTCGGGGTTGAATACCTGGGAATCAGGAATCATAGAATAGTAGGGGCTGGAAAGGTCAGTGGTCATCTCCCTCTCCTTTTACAGAGGGTGAAACTGACCCCTCAATGGCTGAGTCTTATTGTGAAGTGTGATTTCGGCTGAGTCCCTTGGCCCTATTGCCGCTTCTACCCACCCCACCCCCATGCCTGATTTTCCAAGGACCTTGTTCTCACTGTTGCTATAATCCTTGCCCTTGGCTGATAGCAGCTGTCCCTCTCTCCTCTCATGGAAATATGAACTGTAATAGTAAGCTCAAAGGAATTAAGACCTAATAGGGAATTCCTAATAGAAATATAGTGTGAAGTATTGGGGGGTCCACTCCCCCATAGGCATAGGTCTGGGGTTGGTCTGGAGGGGGCCAGGGTGGGAAGGCAGAGGGCACAGGACTTCTGGGTTTGGCTTTAATGCAATTTCTGGCCTGTTCTTTGCAAGGACCCTTGGGTGTCCTCTATTCTGCACTCAGGGTGGCCATCTATATGGCATCCACAGCCCTTGCCTTCTGCAGAGTCTCTAAAGCCTGAGATTGACACTCCCACCAGCCCAAAGGCACCAACCCAGCTCAGTTCACTGACCTGCATTCAGAGTCTAGCTTCCTCTTTTTGCTGAGGACAGGTCCCGAGGGAGGAAGGCAGGCAGGCAGGTAGGCAGGCAGGCAGATAGAAAGATAGAAGTGGAGGTGGTTAACTGGGTCAGGGCCCATCTCCCAGGGCAGGGAGTAGGGGAGGGGGAGCAGAGGCCCAAAGGGATGATGCTAGATGCTGTTGGGCCAACTTTTCTCCCTCCCTTCCCCTCTCCCTGGGACCCCCATCAAGCAGGGCACTGAGATCAAGGAGATATAGATGGCCACTGAGGAGGGGGATCTGTCTTTTGACTATCTCAGCCTAGATCCTAGACTGAGAGCTAGAAGGGGCCTCAGAGCACATCTAGTCCAACCCTCTCATTTTATTTGTCTGATTTTCCCAAGGTCATGGATAGAGCTCTGAGGCAGGATTTGAACCCAGGTCCTCAGGCCCCAGAGCCAGTGGTCATTGTGTTAGTGTTAGGGATATCAGCCCTGATTCCCAGGTGACTTGGTTAGAGCTCAGGATTCTTCCAGGCACGTGCCTCTGGGCTCCTCCTCTGCCTCCACAAGCCCAGGGGCTCTGCCCACTCACCGACTCCTCCGATGGCCAGATTTCTTTTTCTTCTTCTTCTTGGGAGGGGGCGAGGCTGAGCTGCTTGACCAGTGCTTGGTCCTGGGAATGGGGTAGGGGAATGAGAGGTAAGACTTGATACAAGGAGAGCCCAAGTCCTCAGCCTGGCCTCCTGATTCCTAGTTTCGAAGTATCCACAGCCCTTCATTTCTCCAGATTACCACCCTTCCCCCCCCACCTCCCTGACTAGCCGTCCCTCCGCTACTAATACCTTTCATTTCTAAAGCTTCCCCTGCCTTCAGAGCCCACTCAGTCACTCAGCTCAACTCCCACTTCCCATATAGAAAGCTCCCCCATCCCTGCTCCCTCCCCAGGGCTTCCTTCAGACCTGTACTCTCGGTGCCCACCATCAGCCCGGTAACAGTCAGCAGGACAATCGCACTCAAGAGGGCAGTCTTCCTCATAGGGCAAGTACTCCAGGCCCTGGGCATCCCCCTCAATCAAGTAGTGGCTTTCCATCACTCTGGCCAGGAGACAGAAACAGAGGGAAAGGTCAGGGAGCCTCCTCCCATTCCAGATTTGGAGCTGGGAGATCAGTTAGGAGGTAATTACAACCCTCCGGGCTATAGGGGACAAGGACCCAAACCAGGTCGGTGATGGCGTGAGTCCGGGAAAGGCAGACGGCTGGGAGAGACATGCTGCTGGGATCCACAGAATCAGTGTAAAGTCCACATCCCTGGTTTTCAACACATGCCCTTTTCAACATTTTGCCACCACGGGGGACACTTTGCCTCCCATGCTCTGCATTCATTTAGGAGATCCAGTTCCTGCCCCCAAGAAGGAACTTGTTGCTGTTATTATCCCCATTTTTACAGTTGAGGAAATGGAGGCAGACAGAGGTTGAGTGACTTGTTCAGGGTCATACAGCTATGCCCGAGGCCAGATTTAGACTTAGGTCCTCCATACTCCAGGTCTGGCGCTCTAGGCACTATGGCACCTCCCCCCAGCTGCTTCTGGTTTGATGGGGAGACAGTTCTTGCTTTAAGGGATCCCCTGATTTCACCAAGAGGACTAAGTTTCTACAGCCAGGGAGTCCCTCATTTGATAGGAGACTGAAGCCTCTGTCTTTGAAGAAACCTTGGTCCCTGCCTTGGGGGAAGCCCCAATGTGATGCAATTCTCCCTTCATTACGTCTCTCCAATGCCTCCTTCTCTTCTCTGGTGCAGCCTTCATCACCTCAATGCCCAGACTACTGCACTAGGTGCTGAGGGGTCTGTCTGCCTCAGATGTCTCCCCACCAATCCATCCTTCATTCAGACACCAAAGTGATTTCCTAAAGGGCAGATCCAATGATATCACCCCTCTACGTGATAAACTCCAGTGGCTTCCTGTCCCCTCCAGGATCAAACACAAAAGTGCTCTGCTTGGCATTCAAAGCCCCTCACAACCTAGCCCCATCCTGCCTTTCTCGTCTTCTCACACATACCCTATGATCCAGTGGCACTGGCCTCCTCGGTGTTCTTTGCACAAGATGGCCATGCCATCTTCCAACTCCAGGCATTTCCCCTGACTGTCCTCCATAGCTGGAACACTCTCCATCTTCCTCTCTGCTCTCGGCTTTCCTGACTTCTATCAAGTGTCAGCTAAAATCCAACCTTCTAAAAGAAACCTTTCCCAGTTCTCCTTAACGTTATTGTCTTCCCTCTGAGATGATATTTAATATATAATTATATGTTTATATATTTTTATAATTTATAATAACATAATTTTATATGTTCCATATAATATATGACATACAAATTATATTATATATAAAATATATAATTAGATATAGCTATAATATATTATTATATATTCTATATAAAATATATAAACATATAACACATAATTTTATAACATAATTTACCATGTGTGTTTGTGTGTATATACGCACATGTGAGTATACATATATGCATGTATGTGTGTATATGGTCTTGTTTGAACATAGTTGTTTGCACGTTGTATCCCCCACGAGCCCCTTAAGAGCAGGGATTACTTTTGCCTTTATTAGTGCTTAGTAAAGTGTCTGGCACTTTTGTTAGTCATTTCAGTCATGTTTGACTCCTCGTGACCCCATTTGGAGTTTTCTTGGCAAAGATGATGGAATGGTTTGCCATTTCCTTCTCCCGCTCGTTCTGTAGATGAGGAAAGGGAGGCCAACAGGTTTAAGCGACTTGCCCAGGGTCACACAACTAGGAAGTGTCCGAGGCTGAATTTGGACAGAGAGATGTCTTCTTGTCATCAGGCCTGGCACTGCGGCTATTGCACCACCTAGCGGCTGCATCTGGCTCTTTAGTGGGTGCTTAATAAATGCTTGTTGATTGAGTGACTGAAGGAGATGGCCTTTGTCCGCAGCCCCCTGCCCTCGGGGAGGCTGGGGAGACCAGCCTCCTGGGTGTCTATTCACCAAGCACCAGACATACAGGGGCTGAGCTGAGCAGAAGAGCCCTGCACTTGTCTCTTTTCTGGATGCCGAGTACTTCTCCATTTCTTCACATTAGCCCTGTTCCTCCTCATTATCCCACTTCCTGCATCCTCTTCGCCTTGGGAAGGTGCCACCTTTCAAATATTTATAGACTCTGATCATGCTTCCCCTCCCTCCCGCTCCCTTCCTCTGCCCCTCCCAAAGTCATTGCTTTACCAAGCTGCTGCCGAGACTTGGCTGCGACCACATTTCCTCATAAATCAGTCCTCTCCCTGGGCCCTTAATCATCTTGGCTTCTCTCCTCCAAACTGCCTCCAATTTGTCTTCTTGCAATGATGTGCTGCTCTCCATGGAATGCTGCCTGAGCCCCCTCCTCTGGGCCAGCTCCCCTTTTCTCTCTTCCAGAGCCGAGGGGCCGAGCACGGCCAGATTCACCCACTCGTGGGCGTCTGGGGCTCCCGGAGATGCTGCTTTGTAGGTTGTACATCAGTTAACGCAATATTACATGCTGCTCTCAGTTATCCATGCTAATAAAGGTGACAGCAATGGCATGGATAACACAAAAAGCAAACCAAACCAGAGACTCCTAAAGTCTTTGTCTTTGCAGCGTCTTCTGATGCTTAACATTTGGGCGTGGCGCAATGTCCATGAAATGGATGGATATACGAATGAATGAGGGACTGACTGGAGGTCTGGGACTATGGGGTCATAAATCTAGAGTTGGAAGGGTTCTTCAGAGACGATCTAGTCAAACCCCCTCATTTTACAGATCAGGAAACTGAGGGCCGGAGAAAGCCGACCCTTGCCCAAGTTGACATAAACAGTGAGTTTATAAAATCACAGATTTAGAACTGGAAGGGACTTCTGAAACCATTTAGTCCAAACCTTTCCTTTTCCAGATGAGGGAAAAGGCCCAGAGATGTTGAGAAACCTGTCTAAGGTCACATAGGTAGTAACTACACTCAGATCTAGGATTTTCCTTTCGCTTAAAGGAAACTGAGGTTTATAGACGTGAAGCAAAAATTTACCAATGTCCGAGAGCTACCCAGTAGCAGTTAGGACTCAGCCTAGGTCTCCTGGCTCCAGGTAATGGGATTCATAGGAGCCTCAGAGATCATCTACTCCACTTCCATCATTTGGAGTAGGAAACTGAGGCTCAGGGAGGGGAAGTGGCTTAAATGTGGTCCCGCGGGATCACAGCTCTGGTGCTGAAAGGGACCTGAAAGCCCATCTAGTCAGGCCTCTTCATTTAACAGATGAGGCAACTGAGGCCAAGTGCTCCTTCTATAGCGCTGTGTTGCCTCTCACAATAAAGCCATGGAGCAAAGAACACATTCAAGGGGAGCAAGGATGGAAATGGCTTTCCACACACACTCTCCATCAATTCCTCTCATCAGAATGAACAGCATCACCTCTAGAAGTGATGAGCTCACCCTCCACACTCACCCCCTCTAATCCTGCTCCCACTCAAGCTTGCTACCTGCCAATCTCCAAGCTTCCCTGGGCAAAGGGATGCAGTTATACATTAGGGTCTCAGGATCTTTGCTAGGAGCTGAGCCTGAATGGGACCAAGGAGGAGCCCCTCCTCCTCTGGCTCCTCCTGGGCTGCTGGCCATGGCAAAGGGATGAGAGTCACAAGAAGAGATAAATTAAGCAAATGGGAGAATCAATAACGCCCCCAAGGAACGAGGAAGGTCTGCCCTGGATAAGCACTAGGACAAACCCAACAGCCAGCTGCTGCATTAGGGGGAGGGCCGTATGCCCCAAACAGACTGTAAACTCCATGAGGGCAGAGACCATGGCCGTCTAAACTTGGTGCCCTCCTCTCCTTCCTCTTCTCCTTCCTCCTCCCCCTGCGTCTCCACCCACAGTCATAGGATCTTAGGTTTAAAACTAGATGGAGCCTTAGAGACCGTCTAGTCTTTGAACTTTTAGAAGACATATTTGGATAAGAATTTCAATATAATTGATCTCCTTGGTAATCCTATGTATTTTATTTTATGCATTTAAAAAGATTATTCCGAGAAGGGGTCTATAGGGTTCAGCCTACTGGGCAGCTAGTTGGCGCCATAGTGCACAGAATACTGGGCCTAGAGTCAGGCTGACTGCTCTCCCTGAGTTCAAATCCAGCCTCCACACTACCTGTGTGACCCTGGGCAAGTCACTTCACCCTGTTTGCCTCAGTTTCCTCATCTGTAAAATGAACTTGAGAAAGAAATGGCAAACCACTCTAGTATCTTTGCCAAGAAAACCTAGGGGCAGCTAGGTGGCACAGTGGATAGAGCACCGGCCCTGGATTCAGGAGGACCTGAGTTCGAATCCGGCCTCTGACACATAACACTTACTAGCTGTGTGACCCTGGGCAAGTCCCTTAACCCCATTGCCTGGCCAAAAAAAAAAACCCAAATGGGGTTGCACAGAGCTGTACATGACTGAAAAATGACTGAACAAAAGCAACAGCAGAGGTCAAAGGGGCCCAGGACACAAGAAAGATTAAGAACCCTTGATTCTAGTCCAATCCCTTCTATTTTATAGATAAGGGAGTTTCCCAAGGTCACATGGGCACATAGGATCATAGTTCCTTCATTTGACAGATGCAGAAACCACATAGAGCAGTGACGAGACTTATTTAAATTCACACAGATCATCATTGCATAAGACAGGATTTGAATCCAGGTCCTTTGCCTCCATGGCCAGGACTCTTTACCCTGTACTGTATAAGTTGTTGTTCAGGCTTCTCTTTGTGACTCCATGTTAGGGTTTTCTTGGCAGAGATACTGGAGGAGTTTGCCATTTCCTTCTCCAACTCATTTTACAGATGAGGAAATTGAGGCAAACAGGGTGAAGTGACTTGCCCAGGGTCACACAGCTAGTAAGTATCTGAGGCTGGATTTTAACTCATAAAGGTGTCTTCCTGATCCTAAGCCCAGTGCTCTGTGCACTGCACCATCTAGCAGCCCCCATGTAAACCCCCACCCCCCCCAAAAAAGACAGATAGACCTCAACATAGGATGACAGATCTAGAATTAGAAGGTCCCTCCAAGGCCATGTTGTCTAAT